AAGATATAGTACTTTTCTTACCATAAACGCAATCATCCTCTGATGTAGAATCAGCAGCTGAGACCATGTCTTCCGGACACTCAGAACATGAAGAAGCTCCAGCAGCACTGAAAGAGTTCTCTCCACATTGCTGACATCCACTTTTCGTCATGTAGCTTCCAGCCGAGCAGGGAGCTGTAACAAATATCATTAGCAGTCTCGAGAGAACCAACCACTGCTTAAATGATAATTTAAAAAGGTAACAACGATTGCACTGCCTAAATCGAATTCAAGGAATTGTTGTTTAGTTGTTTACATTGCATCACATTATGTTCATAATGAAGTTAAGATATAGCATTTTTCTTACCATAAACGCAATCATCCTCTGATGTAGAACCAGCAGCTGAGACCATGTCTTCCGGACACTCAGAACATGAAGAAGCTCCAGCAGCACTGAAAGAGTTATCTCCACATTGCTGACATCCACTTTCCGTCATGAAGCTTCCAGCCGAGCAGGGAGCTGTAACAAATATCATTAGCAGTCTCGAAAGAACCAACCACTGCTTAAATGATAATCTAAAAATATAACAACGATTGCACTGCCCGCCAATTTGATTTGTTTCAATTGTTCGAATTATAATGGATATTACACATTTTAGGTATATAAAGAATATCATTATTATTATTTACCTAGGCTGAAGCAACAAGGCTCTTTTAAGAAGGTGAACTCTGTCCCTGTTGTGCAAGTCACTTTATTGCTCCCTTTGTTGAGAGCTCCTGAGTCAGAACAAGTCACTTTCACGACGGTTCCTGGGTCTACTGGAAAATTAGCTGCTGTCTCAATCGTACTTGTCCACTCAGCCTTCAGTCCAGTACATCCTGAAAATAATTGCCCTCCATAATTAAAAGAAGTTTGATAGTTTATATTTTTTATACAGGGCTCGATTATACCATAAAAGACAACAGGTTGTATTCAAAATTATATCAAATATTATACGTAACGTTCACAGGCACTTCAAACTATTGTACACGTATTACAATCAATATTTATCTTAGTTCTTAGATTTATTCTGGAATTTCCAAGTTACCTGGTTGAGGTATATAGAAATCAGTGGCAGTGTCAGAGGAAGGAAACTGTATCTTTGCAATGTCCCTGCTCCAGTAAGTGCTCCATTTACTGATATCAGGTAGTTGATCACCTTCACCTCGTTACAGTGTACCACTAGTCTGATACCTGAGGTTCTAGTTAACGTTACCCTCCATACCTTGTCTATTGCAGTAGGTAGGTCAGTAAGGAAGTTAGCGTGGACCGTGCTGCAACCCACGATATAGTACTGAGGAGAGGAGAAGAAGTAGAGGAGGAGTGCTCCTGCAAGATCTTCCTGTGAAGTGTAGAAGTACACAAACACTGTATCGTTACTCCCTAGCGTGCTATTAGTCTTTATTTCAAGAGAATACTGCTCCAGATTGAAGTCTATAAAAACCCCACGTTGTACTGCTATCCAGCCTGTTATTATTATCACGTGATTATCTAAAAGCATTATATAACAGTACATCAGCTGGTAGATAATAATATCACGAGTAAAATATTATCAATTACTCGACGATTGTTGTGCTATGAATATATTGTTTCGATAATTAATTTGACAATTGATAGATCATTTGACTGAAATATTATTTTACAAATATTATTTGACTGCTAACAATGTAAAGATATAAACCATGGTGAATGGTGAATGGTTCATGATTATTGATTATCCTACCTTCATTTAGATCCTCAGCAGCATTCTCAATAAAGAGAAGGGACAGCAGTAATACTATACACATTGTTGCATCACATTGTTCTTGATGCCTAATAATATGATACGAAATAATACGGATGCAGGAAAATGGGCCACATTATACAGGGTGGGCCAAAAGTCAGTGTGCAAACGTTGGCCTTAATAGCTCAGTCAATGAGTGCCCAATTGAAACAATTCTTTCTGGTATGACTTACTACCACCGTCCACCACTCGTTCGAGGAATTTGTCAAATCGAAAAATATTCGTGTACAACAAATAACGACAATAATCAACAATAAAAGAATAAAGAGCCATATTATTAGATATCGAATTTTAATGAATTACTGCTCAGATAACAGATTGCATCAGTTGCACTGTCAAACATCGGTAATACATTTGAAAGAGCACCACTAAGATTAACGGCAAGGAGAAATCCGCAGTATTTTGAAATTAAGTTTAACAGATTACTTATCACCGATTATAGCCTGCCTAAGATGGGACCACGATTATATAATACTATAATAACAACACGATAACGAAATAAATAAAAGCCTTTCCTTTGGGGTCGTTCACATATTACGTAATTAGCCGAGGGGGAAGGTGGTTTGCAAATGATTGTAACGCTAGTGTAATTTTGACAATATCTATGTGTAAAACTGATTACGGAGGGGGGGGGGGGGGGGTAAACATTGTCCCAAAAGTGATAACGTAATACGTGAACGACCCCTTTAGCGTACCTAAGTTACAGGATAAATTTATTGATTTGTTTTTAAGGATACAGTTGTACGAAATTTACTCGATAAACAAAATGTTGACGCTGAAAACCTTTCTTGGACCGAGAAGAATTTTGTTCTTTACAACCTGTAAACGAATTACCAACAAAATATAACAGCTATAGTAAAAATTTGAGTTTAATTCTAACGTTAGTGCAGTAAAAAAAAGCACTGCGATGAAGAATCTAGCAGTCATTCAATCTTTTCGATTTTTACTGCCACACTTATCTACACAAATATCTACACAATTCCCTGCGCAGTGTGTGCTAACAAAATAATTGGATTTATACCGCCTTGATAGTATATAAATATGATTATAAATAAATCATATAAAATACAAATGTATCATGATTATCATAATATAATTGTATGTAATATCCTATTGAGGCTCATGCTAACCCATCGCGCGTTTACTACTTACTACTACTAGTTGCTTTTATTTGATGTATACTAAGATCGCAAGTGCAGAGACGCGTGAGAAATAGGTTTAATCTAGAGAGATTTAGGTAGGTAGGTGGCATATATCGTGATGTTATAAGGGCTAACTTATACATTATATTGCATATTATTATATTATACAAAGTGGTCCGAGCAATTCAAACATCTGCATCAAAATTACTTGGTTCAGAAACTTAAAGTGACATTATAACACGTATACACCATAAAGATAACAGAGCCGTACTGCAGAGCCGTACAGAGCTGGGGCAGAGCCGTACAGAGCCGTACAGAGCCGTACAGCAGAGCCGTACAGAGCCGTACAGCAGAGCCGTACAGAGCCGGGGCAGAACCGTACAGAGCCGTACAGCAGAGCCGTACAGAGCCGGGGCAGAGCCGTACAGAGCCGTACATAGCCGCACAGCGCCGTACAGAGCCGTACAGGGCCGTACAGAGCCGTACAGAGCCGTACAGAGCCGTACAAAGCCGTACAAAGCCGTACAGAGCCGTACAGAGCCGTACAGAGCCGTACAGCGCTGCAGAGCCGTACAGAGCCGTACAAAGCCGTACAGAGCCGTACAAAGCCGTACAAAGCCGTACAGAGCCGTACAGAGCCGTACAAAGCCGTACAGAGCCGTACAGAGCCGGGACAGAGCCGTACAGAGCCGTTATACAGAGCCACCCCTCTCGATTAATGCCCGATGGAAAGTGAGCTTCTTCTTCTTGTCAGGTTCCTTTTAAGAAACTGAACTATCTGTTAGTAACTCCATTCTTTGTTCGCTGTCATCTTCTCTATTTTAAATTGTGCAGTCGCTATAAATTACAATCAGAAATCGATATATCCAAGGGTCAAGTATTCCAGAAAAATAAATGGAAAATATATCATATATTAATGAAGAGAAGGAAAAAAAGATTTTTGTTTTGAACTTTAACAAATTACCATCCCTGCCTAAGTCTGCTCCAGTTGACACTGCGGACCTCTCCTCAGTTAATATCTTTTCATTCTACTGACATATCTTAATTTCATGATGCTCACTAAATCAGCTGGGTCCACTGCTACCCGTAACATTTCACAATGCAAAGGCTCAACTATCCGTTAGTAGCTCCATTCTTTGTTCGCTGTCATCTTCAATATTTTGAATTTCGGCGTTTCTATGAATTACAATCTCGAATTAGTATTTGAAAAAGGAAAAAGTCTAGAAAAATATACGGAAAAAAACATGATGTTTGGAGGGATTATCCCCGCCTGACGACGGACCACTCCTCAGTTAATATCTTCTGACACGTCTTAATTATTTTGCTAGCTTCACTCCTGTGTGTTAGTTATTGTTCACATTTACAGCATAATTTCAAGGTAGTCTGGAATAACGCACTACATAATGGTTTGAGTTTTAGGATTTTTCTATATTATAAGCCAATGTTTTGACATAGGGACAGTGAACATGGAATTGACTGAGATCGGAAATACATAGCTATTTGAAATGAAATGAAATGAGGTATTTATATCCCGCTCATATGATTAACCAACAACACAAGGAAGGTGGTTAACCATGTCAGAGCGGCTGACTGTGAGTGATGTGAGGAATTTACCGTGACACTTGACAGACGTGACATTTTTCCACTTTTAAAAGTTCAAACGAAAGTTACTGACGACCGGGATGTTTTTACGGGTGATAGCAAATTTTAGACTTTGTGGCTATCTGGACTGGCCAAGGCTAATTTCTGCCGATCCATTCTTGCATCATAATAATATGTAATTCATACGTTTTTCCAATCGATAAGAAAAAACCAATTAAAAGTAAGTTGTGTCGGGACAAAAATATATTTCGTTGTCGAGTCATCTCCTCATCGCCAGTATTTTGGAAAGATTATCAGTTCTGAAATTATATACAGATTACATCAGTTAGGAAATAATTATCGTCCAAAATACTGATACTGTGGTACAATTTTTGCGGTTCTCTAAATTAGTCACCATGCCTTTTTTCTGTAAATCTTGTCTCAATTGTTTTTATAATGAGTTTCTCCCTTACAGCTGCACCGCTACGTTATGGGAGACTCTAAAGATCCTCTACACTAATAATCAGTTCGAGAAACTCGCCTACATTGGCACCAGATTCAACCAGCTCACCAAGTCAGTATTTTGTTTCATAGACTATTGGGTGAATAACTGTGGCCTCTATAATATGACCACTAATACGATATTATACAATATGGGTATTAATGTCATGGTTCAGTTTGTGACTCAAGAGCAGCCCTTATTCTCCAGTTGCTACTGGATATGATTAAATAAGTCATTGGTAACTCAAATCACAGAGGGCCGTAGGTTGTGGTCGCTAGTCCCCAACCCTGTGGATCCACGCCCAGATTTCTATCAGTGCGTAATATATGGAAATAGTGTTATCTCAGCTTCTGAAGGTCTTAGAGACTCATAGTTGAGTTTAAAATGACCGCAATGCTCATGTTTATATTGGCATCATGAAAGCCCAAAATGATTATTTTTGGACAAAATTCAGAAAAACTGATTCTCACTTGGGGCGCGAGTAAAACTAAAATATCTACTAGAGAAATTAAGTGTAATTGGATGATAAGTTCAGTGTCTAGTGTCTAGCAACGTTTATAAACACAGGATCCTTTGTAGGGTCATTCTGCATCAGAATTGATTAAGGTACGCAAAATTTTAATTAGTAGTTTCAAACCCTAGGGTGCAAAACTTCTAAATTACCCCCAGGCGCAAATATGACTTTTCTATCTCGGCAATTTTACCCCCTCCCCCCATCCGTAATCAAACGTAATCAAACTAATCAAGACCTACCCCCACCCACCCCCCCCCCCCCCCCTCAATATTCGTTCATGAAATTTCAGAATCACATAGAATTGCCTGATGACCTTAAGTTTTGGAGTGGAATTTTGAGTTAGTCCTTTAAATTTGCCGGGAATCTTTTAGAATTTTTTAAAGAATTTTTTAAAATAATTTTTTCGAATTTGCTTTCCCCCTCCCCTCGGGGGGTAAATGGGTTGGGGTATTTTGGGGTAATTTAATCGAAAACCAACCCATGTAACAGAATCTACTTCGGGGACCCCTTTTTGCTAACTCCCCTTGAGTTCCCTTTCTAACCAAAAAAAGCTTCCCAAATTTAAAAATTTTAGATCTTTCTAGCAACCCTGATATGAATCTTTCCCCCCTGCTCTAACCAGTAAAACCAGATGCAAAAACACCAAATTTCCCGGGTTTTCCACCTAATTTGGGTACCTCTAAAAAAAGCTTTTTATCTACCACCAAAGTTCCTCCAACTTCTGCCGGTCCCAGCAACCTTTTCTTGGCAAAGGGGGTACTTCTTGCCCTGTCAGCAAACCCTCATAAACCCTTTTTTTCTGGGGGGGTTTTTGAGGTTGGGTAGAAACAGCAAGTTTCCAAAGACTGGAAAGGTTGGAAAGCACCGGGGGGTTTGCACCATATCAGAGGGTTTTTTACAAAATGCAAAAATTTTAAAGTTTCGGTGGGAGCGGGGAGAGTTGGCATGGTTTTTAAAAGGGTTTTAAATTAAATTCTGCTCAATAAGGTTGGAATTTGGGGTTGATTAGCCAAAATACCACGTCTGGGCGAAATTCCCAAATTTTTATTTAAGGGCCTTTTTAAAACCCACTTTTCTTCTGCATGGGGGTTTACTAATTTAATTTTTTTTTTAAGGATGTATTTGGGAGAACCACCTGTATTTTAAATTTCTAAAAATGGGGGGAAAAGTAAATTTTACAACCCACCAAATTTTCCAAAATTTTTTAAAGTCCCCTTTTATTTTAAAATCACTAGGGTTTTAGCTAATCTACAAAAAAATTTCCCGGGGGTCCCCCGGGTAAGATTTCCCAGTAAACAAACACCTGCTCAAAATTTCTTTTTTAAATTTGATCCTTTAAAACCCATTCAATGTTTTTTTTCTCCTAACAGCAAAAAGGGATTTGTCCATAATATTTTTTGATTTTTTAGCCATCCCAAAAAATTTTCTAATACAGTAACAAAAGTTTTTATTTCGTGAACTCCGACAATTAAAAATTAAAAAGGGCTACGTATGTTAAACAAAAAATTTTTTGCACTGACCCAAAAATTTTTAACACACCTTTACTCAGATTTTTTAATCTTTGGGCAATTTAAAAAAACATTTTTTTTTTTTTTTACATAAGACATGTGGGTAAAACCAAATTTCTGTGCATCCGAAATTTCAAACAAAAGTATTTTTTTTTTTGTTTATATTTTGTATTTAAAGGGCGTTTTACAAATTACGTAACACGGAGGGGGGGGTTTAGTTTTCCCCAAATTGGGGTTCCCTTTTTGGGGGCAAATTTTAAAAAATCCCGGGAAATTGAAATGGACTAACTCAAAATTTTCCCATCCAAAACTTTAAAGGGCTCATCAATTTTAAAGGGGATTTTGAAAATTTCAGGGAAAAATTTACGGGGGGGGAGGGGGAAAATTTTCCAGATAGAAAAGTCAAAATTTTCGCTTTTGGGGGAAATTTAAAACTTTTGACTTTTGCACCCCAAGGTTGAAACTACAATAGAATTTGCTACCAAAAAATTCTGATGCAGAATGCCCCTCAAAGGACCGTTTTAAAAACTTTGTGACACAACACTGAACTTCATATCCAAACACTAATTTCTCTAGAAATTTTTTTTTTTTTACTCGCCCCCAATAGAATCGTTTTTCTAATTTTTTGTCCAAAAAAATCTTTTTTGGGCTTTCATATGCCAAAAAAACATTCATTGCGGTCTTTTAAACTCAACTAGGGTCTCTAAGCCCTTTCAAAGCTGAATACAAATTTCCCATATACCACCTATATAAAAATAGGGGCGTGGCTCCACAGGATTGGGGACAGCAAAACAACAAAGCCCCCTTTGTGATTTGATTACCAATCATTTAACCATATCCAGACAAAAAACTCTAACACAAAGTGTACACCAACCCCCCCCCCTCTAGGGGGAAAATTAGTTGGGGGGTTGCATGTTATTTTTTTTGAACCAAACTATAGTTATAATGAACTTCTACCCCCCCCCCCCCCCCCCAGTAGGCCAATTGTTTGGTGCAAACTTTTTAAACCCCCCCCCCATAGGACCAATTGTTTGGTCAACTTTACCCCCCCCCCAAGACCAATTTTTTGGTGTAACAGTGACCCCCTCCCATAGTACCTTTGTTTGGGTGCTAACAAGGACCCCCCCCCCCCCATGGGTCCAATTTTTGGGTGCTAACTATGTCCCCCCCCCCCCCAGTAGGTACCAATTGTTTGGGCTAACTAGAAAACCCCCCCCCCAGTGGGGTCCCAAATTTGTTTGGTGCTAACTATGTGACCCCCCCCCCCAGTAGGTACCAATTGTTTGGTGCTAACTATGTGACCCCCCCCCAGTTAGTTACCATTGGGTTGGTGGCTAACTAAGTAACCCCCCCCAGTAGGTACCAATTGTTTGGGTGCTAACTATGTGACCCCCCCCCCCCAGTAGGTACCAATTGTTTGGTGCTAACTAAGTAACCCCCCCCCCCCAGTAGGTACCAATTGTTTGGTGCTAACTATGGACCCCCCCCCAGTAGGTACCAATTGTTTGGTGCTAACATTTGACCCCCCCCCCCCAGTAGTACCAATTGTTTGGTGCTTACCATGTGACCCCCCCCCAGTAGGTACCAATTGTTTGGGTGCTTACTACGTGAACCCCCCCCCCCCCAGTAGGTACCAATTGTTTGGTGCTTACTATGTGACCCCCCCCCCCCCCAGTAGGTACCAATTGTGTGGTGCTTACTATGTTGCCCGCCCCCCCCCCAGTAGGTACCAATTGTTTGGTGCTTACTATGTGACCCCCCCCCAGTAGGTACCAATTGTTTGGGTGCTAACTATGTGACCCCCCCCCGCCCCCCAGTAGGTACCAATTGTTTGGTGCTAACTATGTGACCCCCCCCCCCCAGTAGGTACCAATTGTTTGGTGCTTACTATGTGACCCCCCCCCCAAGAGGGACCAATTGTTTGGTGCTAACTATGTGACCCCCCCCCCCCCAGTAGGTACCAATTGTTTGGTGCTAACAATGTAACCCCCCCCGGCCCTAGTAGGTACCAATTGTTTGGTGCTAATTATGTAACCCCCCCCCCCCAGTAGGTACCAATTGTTGGTGCTATTATGTAACCCCCCTAGTAGGTACCAATAGTTTGGTGCTATATATGTGACCCCCCCCCCTAGTAGGTACCAATTGTTTGGTGCTACTTATTGTAACCCCCCCCAGTAGTAACCATTTGTTTGGGTGCGTACTATGTGACCCCCCCCCCCCCTATAGGTACCAAATTGTTTGGTGCTAACTATGTAACCCCCCAATAGGTACCAATTTTTTGGTGCTAACTATGTAACCCCCCCCCCCAGTAGGTACCAATTGTTTGGTGGCTAACTATGTGACCCCCCCCCCCTAGTAGGTACCAATTGTTTGGTGCTAACTATGTGACCCCCCCCCAGTAGGTACCAATTGTTTGGTGCTAACTATGTGACCCCCCCCCCCCCCCCTAGTAGGTACCAATTGTTTGGTGCTAACTATGTGACCCCCCCCCCCAGTAGGGTACCAATTGGTTTGGTGCTAACTATGTGACCCCCCCCCTAGTAGGTACAAATTGTATGGTGCTAACTATGTAACCCCCCCAATAGGTACCAATTGTTTGGTGCTTACTATGTGACCCCCTCCCCCAGTAGGTACCAATTGTTTGGTGCTAATTATGTGACCCCCCCAGTAAGTACCAATTGTTTGGTGCTAACTAAGTAACCCCCCCCCCAGTAGGTACAAATTGTTTGGTGCTAACTATGTAACCCCCCCAATAGGTACCAATTGTTTGGTGCTTACTATGTGACCCCCTCCCCCAGTAGGTACCAATTGTTTGGTGCTAATTATGTGACCCCCCCAGTAGGTACCAATTGTTTGGTGCTAACTAAGTAACCCCCCCCAGTAGGTACCAATTGTTTGGTGCTTACTATGTGACCCCCCCCCCCCAGTAGGTACCAATTGTTTGGTGCTAACTATGTGACCCCCCCCCTAGTAGGTACCAAATTGTTTGGTGCTAACTATGTGACCCCCCCCCCAGTAGGTACCAATTGTTTGGTGCTAACTATGTGACCCCCCCAATAGGTACCAATTGTTTGGTGCTAACTATGTAACCCCCCCCCCTAGTAGGTACCAATTGTTTTGGTGCTAACTATGTAACCCCCCCCCAATAGGTACCAATTGTTTGGTGCTAACTATGTGACCCCCCCCCCCCCCCCCAGTAGGTACCAATTGTTTGGTGCTAACTATGTAACCCCCCCCCCCCCTGTAGGTACCAATTGTTTGGTGCTAACTAAGTAACCCCCCCAGTAGGTACAAATTGTTTGGTGCTAACTATGTAACCCCCCCCAATAGGTACCAATTGTTTGGTGCTAACTATGTGACCCCCCCCCCCCAGTAGGTACCAATTGTTTGGTGCTTACTATGTAACCCCCCCCCCCCCCCCCCAGTAGGTACCAATTGTTTGGTGCTAACTAAGTAACCCCCCCAGTAGGTACAAATTGTTTGGTGCTAACTATGTAACCCCCCCCAATAGGTACCAATTGTTTGGTGCTAACTATGTGACTCCCCCCCCCCCCAGTAGGTACCAATTGTTTGGTGCTAACTATGTGACCCCCCCCCCCCCCCTCAGTGATGTGTTCGGAGAACAGACCTACCCTCTGATAATCTACAGCAAGAGAAAGTTAGTGGACAGAGTAGCGGAGTACAACGAACCGTGGCACACGGAGACCAGTAGTGTCAGTATTCGCAGTACTGTCACTCCTGTTCAAGGTATGTGGCTGTGTGTCCGTCCCTTTGTAAAGTTGTAATTAGCAGTTATACTAAATCTGTTCAGATTTTTTTTTACATATGCAACCTACTAAAACCAATGGGGCCCTCCCCGGGGTCATTTTTTAATTATTTAAAAAAAACTATTAAAAGTAACATAGAAAATAGATCCCGTAGACTGATGATAACTTTTAACTACTAATCAGAGCTATTTAAACCTGGTTTCAATAATGTTTTGAAGCACATGGGCTGGGATACACTCAAGCTACAAAATAATACCTACTCCCCTTTCAGCTGCGCACGAGAACATATCACCCCAAATAGTTGAAGCACTGCGTCTGTGCTCCGTCCCCCTAGATCTGGAGGTGGACCAGGAAGCGCTAGCTAGCGTGCTGAGTGTCCGCTCCCACACTGCACTCTCCTTACAGTACTGCAGACAACTCCTACTCTGTTATCTCGCCGGATACGGCAAGGGTTAGTTTTATGGTTTTTGTTGATATTTCTCAAGGCGAGGGTTATCTTTTCCCTCATACATAACACGTGTTCCCCACATAACACGTGTTCCCAAATGACAAGTGGTTCGCACATGACGTCATAACACGTGTTCCCCAGGTAACCTAAAGCCGAGTAGCTCCCCACATAACACGTGTTCCCCACATAACACGTGTTCCCCACATAACACGTGTTCCCCAGGTAACCTAAAGCCGAGTAGCTCCCCACATAACACGTGTTCCCCACATAACACGTGTTCCCCAGGTAACCTAAAGCCGAGTAGCTCCCCACATAACACGTGTTCCCCAGGTAACCTAAAGCCGAGCAGCTCCCCACATAACACGTGTTCCCCAGGTAACCTAAAGCCGAGTAGCTCCCCACATAACACGTGTTCCCCAGGTAACCTAAAGCCGAGTAGCTCCCCACATAACACGTGTTCCCCAGGTAACCTAAAGCCGAGTAGCTCCCCAGTCTCCTCCTTCCACCCCGGTACAGCAGGAGCCAGTAAACTATACGATAAACCTGGAGACTTGTTCGTATCACCTCTCTCTACCTCCTCCTACGGGATCATAGTGTCTACTTACGAGAAAACTATAGGTTTGTTAGTGGCTGAACATTAGTATAGTGATTGGGACTCTAGATGAAATAAATTGGTTAATTATTGACTTATTAGTCATTGTATGTTATTTATTTAAACAACATTCTTTCACAACAATCTAAAGCTCGCGTCACGGTATGTTTCCTATCTAATTACTATAAATGATCCCAGAAATGCTGCAAGTAAAGGGAAAGACTGATTTAGCAGTTCAGGCGATGCACGAGCTAGGAAATGTTCTCTTCCACTCTGGGAATACTAAGTTAGTTATATCTAATTTATTCGTTACCTATAAATTATATACTCGGGTTCAGGCGAGAAAATATGGCATCTATACCTCTTCATAATGTCGAACATAATCTTTCAAATTTCACCAGAACAATAATAATTAGTATTATTGAAAATCAGCACTTCACTTACACTGTATATCAACACTTTCACTTTCACTATTACAGGGGAGCGTTCAAATGGTGGTGTGACGCACTGGACACACTGCTCCACATGACCAACTCCATGCAGAACTGGCACAGCTTCACTCCTGAAACCCTTCTCAACAAGTGCCAGATATGGGGCTGTTTGCTCGGCGCCTGTATCGCTTCTAATATTTCTCAGTGAGTCTAAAAACAGTTAGTTAGCCAGTACACTAATTTGTTTTGGCAACATATTGTTATTTGAGAGTCCTGATAAGCATGTGGTAAAGATGATGGTTATTCCCCATTATCTGTTTCTGCTTCTTCCAGTTCTCTTGATATTTGAAAAAACGGATAGCAGAATGATTGATTACTACTTGATTTAAAATGTATTATCAACTAACAAATGGCTAATTAAGAATTATGATGATAACGTCGCACTGACCCTGATGACGTCACACTACCCCCTGATGACGTCACACTACCCCCTGATGACGTCACACTACCCCCTGATGACGTCACACTACCCCCTGATGACGTCACAATGCCCCCCTGATGACGTCACAATGCCCCCTGATGACGTCACAATGCCCCCTGATGACGTCACAATGTCCCCTGATGACGTCACAATGCCCCCTGATGACATCACAATGCCCCCTGATGACGTCACAATGCCCCCTGATGACGTCACACTGCCCCCTGATGACGTCACACTGCCCCCTGATGACGTCACACTGCCCCCTGATGACGTCACACTGCCCCCTGATGACGTCACACTGCCCCCTGATGACGTCACACTGCCCCCTGATGACGTCACACTGCCCCCTGATGACGTCACACTGCCCTCCCAACAGGTATATAGTGAGCCACAGTGTAGATGACAAAGTAGACGCGTGTCTCCTTAGTGCTCAGCTCTTTAAAGCACTGTTCCATGCATCCCTGCCTCACCCTGCATCTGACTACCAATATGTTAACCACGAAATAGGTCAGTTAAGAAATATGTCTAGGGAACATGTCTAGTTAACCGTTACTTTCTGAAAATACAAGAATTACAAGTAGGTAACCCTTTTTTTCGTGGAGCAAAAATGTGTTTTTTCTTCACACTTTCACAGAATGACAACAGTATATTATTAAATATCAATAATTAATTAATTAATTAATTAATTAATTAATTAATTAATTACAGGAGAAGGTTTCAACATCCCCGCCCTGATACCCGGAGTAGACCTGCTATCTGACCAGTTCAGATGCAGTGCTAGTGTGCTTGTTGGGTCTCTACACTACGTGTCCGAAACTCTTGTTAGACACCAGTTCGCTAGTCAGGTTTACAGTTACCATAGTTACACTAATAGTTACCATAGTTACACTACTACTAGTTACCATAGTTACACAGTTTACAGGATAGCTAGTCAGGTTTACTCATAGTTTAATTAGTTAGTTATTTAATTTGCTAATTAGTCAGGTTTACAGAATAGTTTAATTAGTTAGTTATTTAAGTTGCTAATTAGTCAGGTTTACTCATAGTTTAATTAGTTAGTAACTTAAGTTGCTAATTAGTCAGGTTTACTCATAGTTTAATTAGTTAGTAACTTAAGTTGCTAATTAGTCAGGTTTACTCATAGTTTAATTAGTTAGTTATTTAAGTTGCTAATTTCATGGCTAATTATTCAGTAAGATTAATAAGAGTGTAACTTTGTAACGGTTGATTATTTCAGGCTCTACCAGTACTGTCACTATATCACTACGTTGCCATGTCTCTTCTATCCGACACCAAACATCTTATTCTTGCTAGAATACTCAAGGTTGGTCATTTTATCGTTTATAACTTTATAATCATATTCTCACTGTTTAATGAGCTTGCTGGTCACGAAATTTAGTATTTATTATAAATAATATTGATATAGTTTAGATATTTCCTAAATACATTTTTTGATAAAGTTGACAGAAACAAGTTGACTGATAAGCTACTAACTCTGTACAGGTGGAAGCACTGACACAGTTATCCATGTTAACAGATGCTCTGCAATTGTGGAGTCTGGTATCTCAAACTGAGGCGATGCCCACCCCTCCTACTTCTCATGGCAATAACATTTCCAACAAAACTGTGAGTTAATAATTAATTAATTGATCATTTGTAATGATTATACAACTTTCTCTTGCTGATTGCACATTATTCGGCTTTTCCTTTGTGGCTTACTCTTTGAACATGCTGAACAGCACTAGACACTGTTTAGGTACCGGAAAAGCTTCTTCTGCTTTCCTGTTCTTCGCTACTTAATTCCATTTACCTTGACATTCTCATGTAATCATTTTCGTGTTTCAAAGAATCTCAGTAATTTCAGTTATTTTTTGGTTCTTTCAAAAAATGTTTATTAGTTGAGTTTGCAGGAGAATTATGTACCAGTAACAGCTGTATCCCTATGGGTGGGTCACATATCTCACTTGTTCGTATAGTGTAACTCCTGTAACTAGTGTAACTAGTGTAACTCCTGTAACTAAAACATTTAGATCTGTTGGCGAGCCTGTATTGACACGTGTTATTCTGTGTCACGTGTCTGTATTGACACGTGTTACTCTGTGTCACGTGTCGTCGTGACACGTGTTACTCTGTGTCACGTGTTACGTGTTATTCTGTGTCACGTGTCGTCGTGACACGTGTTGATGCAAATATGGCTCCCCACCAGTATCTAGATTTATTTAGCAGTATATTATTGAAGTTTGTTTTATAAAAAGTGAAAAACTTGTGACGTTGGCATGGTTTAAGTCGATTGTTTTGTATGGGCATTTCCCTGTGTAACTAAACCATTAAGCTTTATGTTTTACTGCATACGTGATCATTTAAGAGCTCCAATATTATACCAAGGAGCAATGAGCATGAACAAACGAGGGAGCAAGTGAGATATATGGTAATTTCTTAACTTAAAGTGCAAATTTCGGAGGGAAATGAAATTAAGTTAGGAAATTACCATTATTTTCACTTAGTTGAATATTAGACAATGGTTAGTGTTGTACCGAATAAAAAGTGAAAACTTGTGAATTTGGTGTTTATTAAATCGAGTAACATGTGAGTTGTGATGTTATGTAAACTTTTAAATGAATAACTTATGACGGTGGCATGGTTTGCGCCAATAATAATCTCTCGGTGAAGCATCGAAAGTTATATTTATAAGTTTACTGTTCGAATGATTATAAAAGTCATCCTCAGTTCTCAGAGTTATAAATCTAAATATCTCGCAGAATGTTCCAGAGTACAACATAACAGAACCACTAAACAGTACCCAGAACGTACAAGCTGTGGAGCATGCTATAAAGTGCAAGATCCCCCCAATCCCTCAACCCCCCTTCACTACTAACCTATCAGCACTTGCGCAGCTGGCGCACGCTGGGTTGATGCTGGCTATTGCGCAGCGGTCCTCTGTTGTGCCTATGTACAGTGAGGGCAGTGAGAGTCAAAGTAAGAATGTCTCCTGGAATATAAACAAATTCACTGACAATTGTACTGAACTGACCATTACTTGTCTCCTGGGATATAAACAAATTCACTGACCATTGTACTGAACTGACCATGTACCGACCATGTATTTTTAATTCCCTGTTATCCCTTCAAATAATGATTATTCCCACAGCTACAGAATCTGCCATCAAGTACAAACTGTGTAATTCGGCTGAAGTTATACTCATGCACCTCTCCAAATGTGCTGATAAAGGTAATTCAGTATGCCATATTTTGAAAGTTTGAACTGACTAAACAGCTCTACACTTCTGAAAATTTCCTCAACTTCTTTTTGAGTTTTAAATTTCTCCCTTCAGAAGACGCCCACTACTGTGAAATAGAGATAGGGGTGAGTTCCCGTAGGTTGCTGTGCACTATCGCACTGGAGAAACAACTGGGGGCTACCATAGTTAACCTCAGTAACTACGGGCTCTCACTTCTCCAGCGCTCTTATCAGCTTGACAGGTCTGTAGCTTACATTTCTGTTGTTTTTAGAGATAGATACATCTTAGTTTTCGGTGATTAATGATTGTGATGACGGAGTTTAAAACATTGTATTGTGAACTTATTTTCTACGTGCTTCTGTTACACTTAATTTGACATTGAAACAATCTTGTAACAATCCTGATTTGTCAACCTTGCGATCCTACTATAACATTATATTATTAGACAAGAGGTAGTTTCCTACGATGAGATGTGCAGTAAGAGGCGGCTGGACAGTCTGGCCTGGCTACAGTTAAAATGTGCTATGATCCAAGGGTTTGGCCTCATGACCACCATGTACGGTAAGTCATCCACTTACAAGGTCCCAATGCAACTTGGACCTTGATTTTTTTCTTTCAGTCTCAACTTCAGAAATCGTCGCTTGTCTTGCAAGTGTTTTTATGGCAGTGGTGCATCGTCTTCTCTTATCATTCCATGAACCTACAAAATTCCAGGTGCGAATGATTGCAAGCAAATATGTGCCGCCACGAAAGAGGAATCTCAGCTATTCAATTCGAGTGAAATGCAAGCCTGGATATCACTGAAAGACCTTGTCTTGGATATCAACGCCAGCAACACTTTCCAAGTTGAGGTAGGCGTCTCATTTCCAGCAAAAAAACTTGATAACATTCGAAACATTCCTTTGATAAATTCAAATATTCACGTCCATAGTCATTCAACCATTATATTCATTATGCATCGTGAAGCTGTCCAGCTCGCAAGGTGGCGGCTTATTTAGCAGAATTGACAAGGCGGGAGGTCTACTGCGCGGCTCAGTTGGCATGGTAACGCTAATCAAATGTTATGAAGAACAAATTTATTTTCGCGCGTTTTGTCCACATGTTAATTAAATTCTTTAATTTCACGGCTGTTATTTGATTAATAAATAAATATTTATTAATTATTCTATAAAAAAGGCGTGCCTGAATAAATGCGTTCACCCTGATTTTTTGTGAACCTTAATTTCAAGATAGCAGTTTTTAAAATGTTTAGGATCAAGATAAGAAGAATTGCTACTTGTTAGTTGTTTGGCAAATCATCTTCATCACTATTTTTAGAGTCAGATACAGCCTCTTTTTAAATGCTCATGCCATTTTTCAGCGTCAGATAAAAGAAGGTCTCTCCAGGATGGTGGCCCCATCCTGTCTGGGTGCCAGTGTTAGTGTTGGTACTATCCTGTACTGTGCTTCTAGAGCTACTAATAAGGAGGACTCTCTATCCAGGTCAGCAACTGAATGGTTTAAATGTTTGTAACAAATTGTACTGTGTTTAATTAGCATAAATAAGCCACGGTATGTGCAATTTTTAAAAATCGTCTCCGTCACTTCGGCCTTCGTATCAAGAAAATGTAAGTTAGTTTCAGTTGTACCCACTAAATGTTAATATGTGATATCTATGTTAATCTTATCGTTTACTTATATTTTGCTTTTTTACGGAGCGAATCTGCGAAGTCCAGGTAATTGCTAGATCCCCTCTTCCGCCAACTAGCACGTGATAATGGTGAAGACTGAAAACCAGCATCAGTGTGCCGTGGACAATATTGATAGATCTATTAGCAATTAATAGGATTAATCTACTAATTACTAGTAGCATTCTTGTCATGCTATCAGTATATTTCAAGAATCCTCGCGGGCAAACTGGCCACTGGGTTACATCAAAACCTCCAACTTTCTCATGATTTTCAGTAACTAACCTCCAAAACTAATACATATTGCAGTCAGGGAGTACCACATAGTATGGTAACCTCTACATGCTCCATCCTCCATTACATGCTTTATTACAGTAACTAACCTCCAAAACTAATACATATTGCAGTCAGGGAGTACCACTTAGTATGGTAACCTCTACATGCTCCATCCTCCATTACATGCTTTATTTCAGTAACTAACCTCCAAAACTAATACATATTGCAGTCAGGGAGTACCACTTAGTATGGTAACCTCTACATGCTCCATCCTCCATTACATGCTTTATTTCAGTAACTAACCTCCAAAACTAATACATATTGCAGTCAGCGAGTACCACATAGTATGGTAACCTCTACATGCTCCATCCTCCATTACATGCTTTATTTCAGTAACTAACCTCCAAAACTAATACATATTGCAGTCAGGGAGTACCACTTAGTATGGTACCCTCTACATGCTCCATCCTCCATTACATGCTTTATTTCAGTAACTAACCTCCAAAACTAATACATATTGCAGTCAGGGAGTACCACATAGTATGGTAACCTCTACATGCTCCATCCTCCATTACATGCTTTATTTCAGGTTTCGACCTGGAAAATAAGCAGCTGTCACTCGCATTTAATCTAGTATCTCAGTATTCGTCTTAATTATTTAATTGACCGCAAACAGATTGCGTGCAATTTTGTTATTTAACACTAATAATACAGTACCTTATATATGCGTAACTAATAAACTTAGTTCTAGTAGTAGTTTACATCTTGTTACTGACCTTATCCTCTGTGAAAAATCGTATACTCACACGAAGTGATTAGATAGCATCAAACAATTTATCATCTTGAACCCTGTCGGGCACCTTTTTACTGTTTCTTCATTTGTGTGAGAAACTACCTCGTACCGTACATCAACGTTATTCCGTTTATCGTTACATGTTGCGCGAGCCTGAAAAATTAAATGCAGTTAAGTAAAGAAATAAGGGAGTTCAAGTTATTAATCAAATCCTTTTCTGTCGTATATTGATAAAAGAAGTGGGTTGAGCGACGAAGGGGCGATACTAAATCTATTTTTTAGATATGAGGTTAACATTGCGTCATTTGATATGAGTATTATAATACATGAATACCATGGTATTCACCAAACATGGAAACAACTTTACAATTTGCTTTATGCTTACTTTAACGGAAATACCATTAACCCCATTCTGTGCAACACAGTTCCCATTGACAATCTGCAATCCATCGTGGTTATCAGAGTCATTTTCTAAAACTATTTCACAGTTCACCAGGACCGACCCCTCTGGACACGTAGCAACCGACTTAACGTCATTTATTTTCCCGCTCCAATCTCCATCTTGTTGTAAACATTTCCCGGACCAGGGTGCAAGTAGCAGTAGCAGGGTTATTTTCAATACCATGACTTGTAAATATCTATATGTTGGACGTGTTGATGAATACATTGTGAAGATTTGAATAGCGCAAGTATAATACATAGAAGAAGGCAAATTATAAAATGGTACACTTGTCTGTAGAAAGCTCAACCGAAGAGAAATAACCACTGATAATTAAAATATGAGTTGTGTGACTTTATAGATAACGACCTAACGAGGGCTGGTAATATTGGTAACCATAGCAACACTTCGCTCAGTGGACTCTGTAGATAACTACCTAACGAGGGCTGGTAATATTGGTAACCATAGCAACACTTCGCTCAGTGGACTCTGTAGATAACTACCTAACGAGGGCTGGTAATATTGGTAACCATAGCAACACTTCGCTCAGTGGACTCTGTAGATAACGACCTAACGAGGGCTGGTAATATTGGTAACCATAGCAACACTTCGCTCAGTGGACTCTGTAGATAACTACCTAACGAGGGCTGGTAATATTGGTAACCATAGCAACACTTCGCTCAGTGGACTCTGTAGGGCGTAGGCGACGATTTAATTACGGTTATATATTTGTCTTGAAGAAGTCCATGTGGATAATTTCTGACCGCTTAATTAGTCGTGGACCAATAATATGGTAGTTATAAATTGAGCAGACCTTCAGATAGAGCTAATAACCAAGTATGTTTTAGTGGTACACTTGTAGTAGTGGTATACCCTGTATTGATAATAATGAGAGTGATTACCTTACCCACTGCAGTTAGAGATGTGACTGAGAGGTATCCTAAATCCATTGCCTGGATTGGGCTGACATAAGATCAGAGCTGCTAAATCATGATTATGACGGTGAAAGAAGAGTACTTCATCTGCATACAAATGAATTATGTCACAATTAACCAGGACCCATCTCTCTGGATATTGAGCTATCGGTTAAGCATATTGTAAAGTGTCATTTTGCTTATTACTCTGTAAACAGTGTCTCCAAAACCTCTTCATCGCAAGTCTATCACATTATAAGAGTTTTAATATACAATATACATGCTGTGCAATAAGTTCTAACTTCGTGAAGTCTGCGTAGGAATTTTGAGAAAATTCCAACCATAACTTTAAGATTCTTGCCAGTATTCTTTGGTAGCCTATTGTTACTTTAAACCTTGGGCGATAATACTAGCTTATCAGAGTTTACTACAATAAAAGCCGAAAGATTTTTAGGAAGAGTTTCTGGACCCTGTTCATTTTCCACGCCCACTTGTACCAGAGAGCTAACGACATTACTACGCACGTGACATTACGCACGTGACATTACTACGCACGTGACGCTAATGAGCATTTCGTTCGTTATTCTAGACGTATTAGAGAGGGGGGAGGTGGTGGTTCTGGAAACACATGCTTGATACATACAGCTGCTATCATGGGGTGGCGACAACAGATGTGCTTCCTTTTGTGTCTGCAACAGCTCTCTGTCAAGTTCAGTACCCGGTTCATCAGTCTAAGAAGATGTTTACTAGTTTCTGTTACAATACCAGGGGAGACTTCTACTAAAGATTGTAAAACGTTAAGATTAGTTCCTGACTAGAACACTATTTACTGAAGTATCTTCCGACTGACTAGAACACTATCTGTATTTATATTTTTATCTGTATTTACTGAAGTATCTTCCGACTGACTGGTAAAGTTTCTGTAGCTCTGTTCCGTCCTCATTAATTCGAATACATAGATATATTTCTTTGTCGTTGCTTTAATATGTTTAATACTTTAATAGCTGTTTGATACAGTTGCTGGTTTATCAGTTGACAGTTCTAGAATTTGTGTTTTTCTAAGAATATAGATCAATTGATAAATGTACATTCATTTTGTAATCTGCATCCAGTAGCATTCCAAGAGTTGTAGGCCGACTTATTATTTGTCCACAACCCAGAATATGGTAACTGCTGTCGCACGCACATGGCTGCTTCTTCTCAGCTCCTTAACACTCTCACAAGGCCTTTATTACGAAATTGGAGAATTCTACATATTTGGGCTAGGCTGTCCTAATACCTTTATAACCATCACCTCTGCGAGATACTACGCTCCGGGTGTGGAATGGTGCCAGTATGGCGACGTGAGCTACGCAACTGGAAACCGTTGCAACCTCAGGACATCCTGCACAATCAACTCTTCTCCCGGGGTGTTCTACCCGGACACTTGCCATGGTTACTGGAAGAGGGTTGAGATACACTACGAGTGTCAGGCCTGTCAGTAACACCTTAGTAACACCCTAGTAACACCCTAGTAACACCCTAGTAACACCCTAGTAACCCGGACACTTGCCATGGTTACTGGAAGAGGGTTCAGATACACTACGAGTGTCAGGCCTGTCAGGCAGCTACCTACTTTATAGAGGGCTCAGGTTGTTACTGGTGTGGAGAGAACACCTACAATCCAGGTGGGCTTCAGACCAGCTGTACTCCCTGTCCTGCTGGGACAACTGTTTCAGCGGGTACAGGAGCTCATGTTGGGCACTGCACGTGGCTTCCTTGCGGTGCTCGTCAATATCTGGACCAGTCTAGTGGGTGTCAGAGTTGTGGGGAGGCGACTTACAGTCCTGGTGGAACAGTTTCCTCCTGTACTGGGTGTCCTGAAGGGAGATATGTAGGAGCAGGACTCGGCACCTCGGAGTCGGACTGCCAGCCATGTGGACAATGGACTTATCGGGATAATACTATGACGAGCTGTACTGGATGTAACGAAGGGAAGACTCCGAATACGGGCAAATCTGCTTGTGAACCATGCGAAGAAGGAACGTATCGGGATAATTCTATGAATAGTTGTGACGAATGTGACGTAGGAAAAACACCAAACTCCGATAAGAATGCCTGTGAGCCATGTGAAGAGGGGACATATCGAGATAATTCTATGAAACTCTGTGAAAGATGTGAAATAGGAGATGAACCCAACCCTGATAAAACGGCTTGCGAGCCATGTGAAGAAGGAACGTATCGAGATAATTCTATGAATAGTTGTAACGAATGTGTCGTAGGAAAGACACCAAACTCCGATAAGAATGCCTGTGAGCCATGTGAAGAGGGGACATATCGAGATAATTCTATGACACTCTGTGAAAGATGTGAAATAGGAGATGAACCCAACCCTGATAAAACTGCTTGTGTTCCATGCAAGGCAGGGACCTTTAAAGACGGTTCTCTGGCTGTATGTCAACAGTGTCCCACAAACAGCTACAGTGCAGAGAGAGCAGGGCTCTGTACCACGTGTCCTAGAGGATCTCGTGCTTCTCAAGATCACACTCGTTGCGTCTCCTGTGAGGGTCTACCTTCAACCTGGAAGGAGATGAGGACAGAGACACAGTTCCCCCTCCCACCTGGAGCTGAAGTATCCCTGAAGTGTAGTCCCGGACACACTCTGACTGGAGACAGCACTGTGACATGTGTAGAGGAAACAGGGTGCAGTCCCGGACACACTCTGACTGGAGACAGCACTGTGACGTGTGTAGAGGGAACAGGGTGCAGTCCCGGACACACTCTGACTGGAGACAGCACTGTGACATGTGTAGAGGAAACAGGGTTCTCCTTTACTAAAACCCCTTCTTGTGAGCTAGATAAGTGTGGGTCACTGCCGGACACACCAAACCTACAAACAAAGACAGAGTTTCCGGTGCAGTATGGTGTTGTGGTTACAGTGAACTGTGAGACTGGATACTATCTGTCAGGATTTGAGACCATCACCTGCATCAAGGATAAGAATTACAGGTCTCATGAGGATCCTACCTGCATTGTAAAGACCTGCACTGGTCTCCCGGTAACCCCAAACTTGCACGCAAGTGTGCAGTGGCAGACAGACACAGAGTTCCCAGTAAGGTACGGCACCATAATACCAGTGCAGTGTTTAGAGGAGGGGACGCTGAGAGGGGACCTTGTGATCACGTGTCAGCAGGACAGAGAGTTTCTCTTCCAGAAGAAACCTCGCTGTAACGACGTGGGAACCTGCGCTGAAGTGCCGTTAGACAGTAACCTCTACACTGCCTCCCAGTTCCCTGTGAACGCAGGGACAACAGTGGATGTGAACTGTGTGGCTGGGTACTCCTTAGCTGGATACAGAACCATCACCTGCATCCAGGACGCAGACTACAGCTCAACCGGCAACTTCCCCAGCTGTATCATTGACAAGTGCTCTGAGTTACCGGATAATATCTTCAACATGAAGACCAACCCTCCACTCCCAGTGGACTACGGAACACTAGTTGAACTGGAGTGTATCCAGGGATACAGTCTATCAGGGAGTGTTCTTATCACCTGTATAAAAGATAAGAACTGGGAGTATGAGGACACTCCTCACTGTGTATTAAACACGTGCACACAACTCCCAGCAGCCCTATCAGACATGACTACTACCAGCACCTTCCCCGTGATAGTAGGAACAGAGGTGGAAGTAGCCTGTAAGCCGGGTCACACTCTAGCCGGGGACAGTACCATTACCTGTGAGCAGGAAGTGCTCTTCGACATGGAGCAGCGACCTACTTGTACCATAGATCATTGCAAAAGATTGTTGACAGAGAACTATCTCTTCACTGAATCCAGTTTCCCTGTTGTATACGGGACCACGATCTCAGTGTCCTGTGAGCCAGGTTACTCCGTGATGGGGAGTAAGGAGATCACCTGTGAGAAGGGCATCGTGTTCAGTCACCAGACATCCCGTCCTAAGTGTGTCAACCCAGGTGAGACTTATCACTTTATTGATCACACAATTTATCATGTAAAGTTCTATCCATTCTTAAAGATTTACATTGAAGTTCTCAACTAAGTAACAAACTCTACATATAGATTGTTATATGTCTAGTCTATAAAGATTATAGTTTTGACACGTCTTAACTCTTATGAAGTCTGTAGAGTTTAACAATGTTTGACAATGGTCCTATATGTGTAAAACTTCACGTTTGGTCGTCATATATTACGTTCTATTGTTTAACTGTTATCAAATATGTCTTCATGATGTTTGTCTGGCAACGTTATCGACATCATATTATTATGTGGAAGATGTAGAAATGTGTCTTAGTCCGACTGTCGTACACAATTACTTAACAACAGATATGTTTCACAACAATTAATTAAGAGAATTGGGAGGGCTTCACAGATTGGGCGTATTCGTCTGGTCATCAACCTCAGGAACCTGGTAAACTCAAGATGTTGCCAGGAGGTTTCCATGTTATCTTCAGCAGTAAACTCAAGATGTTGCCAGGAGGTTTCCACTTTCCATGTTATCTTCAGCTGTACCTCAGGAACCTGGTAAACTCAAGATGTTGCCAGGAGGTTTCCATCTTATCTTCAGCTCGAACCTAAGGAACCTGGTAAACTCAAGATGTTGCTATGTTGGTAAAACATATTTAGAAACTGTAAAACATATTTAGAAACAGTAAAACATATTTAGAAACAAGTAAAACATATTTAGAAATAGGTAAAACATATTTAGAAACAGTAAAACATATTTAGAAACAGTAAAACATATTTAGAAAAAGTAAAACATATTTAGAAACTAGTAAAACATATTTAGAAACAGTAAAACATATTTAGAAACTATTCCTCATATTTACCTCCATTGTATTCACACAAATAGCTTCATCACAATACTTGAAGACTTTATTAAAAGGAAAATCGATAGAAATTACGAAGATCCCACTAAAATTAATTTTATAGTCTGTAATCACACTTCACAAATTATAAATTATTTTAATATCGTTGCGAAATGGTACATTAGCAAAAAATTCCAGGCAGGAGACTTGCCGATCTGGCAGGGGTATATCAAACTTCTTAAGCTTTCGCTTACAGGAGATAAAATAGGTCACAAAAGTTCTATTGTATCGATCTTGGCCGATTAGGGTCTAGGGTAATTTGTCCACTCCATTTTTATTGCTGTCTATGTTATTTAATTTTTACCGGTTATTGTTATAATCTTACAGTACTACTAGTAGCTGTCTTTTGTAGTACATGCCCTGCTTCCTTCCTTTCCTAAATTTCTTACAAGCTCCTACAGCCTCCTCTCTTACACCCTTTTCACTCAATTCATTTCACTCATTCACTTCATATTTTTTACCACAGTATCTGCCAAAACCAACATGGCCTAAGTAGAAAGAGGCCTTGACGTTGTTTCCCGCTTGGCCCTGCATCCCATGCTGACGGTTGGCCTCCACTCTAAAAAACTTACCTTCAGTGAAGGCCGATGGTCAACAATTAGCGATGTAAGAGCTTGGCGGTAACAAATCCTGACCTCCTTTTACACCTTTGGGACGACTTTCGCAAATGCGAGAGGAATGACCCCGAGGAGGGCTCCATTGGTTTTAGTAGGTTGCATTTTATTAAAAAAAAAAATAAAAAAAAAAAAAAAAAAAAAAAAATAAAAAAAAAAAAAAGATGTTGCTACCCTCTTCAGTGTATAGGTCCTTCGCAGTAGTGCCGGTTACCCCCAAAATAGCCGTTCTTTTGATCCGAACTTCGATAAAATTTCGCTGTATATTCATTTATTGCTTGTTTAATTTGTTTTTGTGCTTAATTTATGATTACTTGTATCTGAGATTCTGTGATTAAATTTATTTTGTTGATTATAATGTTGTGAATCTTGCATAATTTATTGTAAATATGTTATATTTCAGTATTATGTAACGCGATGGAAATATTTTAAGCGGGTAATATCATGTCCAAACCCAGGATACATAACATGAAGACTTTGTTGTAACTTTGTATGAAAAGCATTAATACTATATCGCCTGATCTATAATATAAGTTTATCGCAAACCCAGTCCGATTGTCCTTATAACGTTCCTCTGTCAGGTTGAGGAAAGTAAGAGAGTTGCTGGAATATCAACATGAACAATACTACGGCAACAAGCACAATATCCACACCTACATGGCCCCTGTGTCTGCACTGGTTAGTCCAACCACCTCTTGTTCTTTTGCTGTCCTTCAAATAATTGGGGGTCGGTTAGGTACAATTTTAACGCTTTTTACCGTTTAGTTAGGGGAAAAACAGGGAACTAAACCAGATCTTCTAGATCTTTCTTGAAATATCTACCGTTTAGTTAGGGGAAAAACAGGGAACTAAACCTGATTTTCTAGATCTTTCTTGAAAAATACCCGTGATATAACTACAGAAGAGAGTACCACAACATGTTCCTCCTCCAGGCGGTTGTGTTGGAAACAGACTGGAAGTTATCAGAACTATCAGAGAGGATATTAGCGGGAGATGAAGTGAGCTCAGAGTTAGATCAGCTGGAGCAGGTGTTATCTAGCACTCTGACACACAGTAATGTTGGGGTCGCAACCAGGGCTGAACTTCTCATCAGACTGGGTCAGTATTTGTTAGCTTGTTTTCGTAGTCATGTTGAATATTTTCTTAGCTACTGTATGTAGCTAAGAAAGAGCAAACCCCGGGAGAGATTAGCTCACAGCGGTATTATATTAGGTAATCGTACTGTAGTGCGACAAGTACTCTAGTGCGAAGTCCGACAAAAACACCCTCTGTCGCACTACAGTACGTGTCGCACTACGATCCAGTTAGCGTACTCTAGTGCGACAAAATATCCTGTTTTATTTCCAAATCCGCACCAAAATAACCTGTTCACGTGTACAGGTGTTGTGATGCGAGGGAAATGGGAGATAGAGCCCACTCCTGAACGGTTTGTAGCCCTCATTAACACCCTGTGTGAGTGTGTCTCCGCCACTAACTTCAACCTACCTATCGCTAGAGAAGCTTATTTGGAGATAGCGTATGTTACAGCCGCTGTTACTAATAATAACAACAGTGATGGTAAGTTATCTGATAAATTTAATTTAATTCCAATTATTAGTTCCCATTATTCAGATTGCTTATCTCAAATTCAAAATCTTCTAGAAGGTTCTAATTTAAGTCTCAAAGATAAACTAACAAATTATTCGTCGATAGATTCAGAGAGCGAACTAACAAACGAGTTTTTCAGCGACAGCAGCCAAACAAGTGACTTTGGAGAAAAGAGCAACATGGTCAGCCATCCGATCAGCCGCCCTGTGCAACATCTCTCAGGAGAGTTTGAAATGTTTAGAACAGAACCCTGCTTCTCAGGCTATCGTCTCTAAAAAGGACATCAAACGGCTCCCTTCTTTCACTGGTTAGTGTATTTATTGAAATTGTTCCGGTCATTTTAAGTGAAATTTCTACAGTAAAATCTTAGTCCCTTTTCGTCTGCAGTACCATTTTTACATCAAACTTCAAATAACGAACCTATTCCCGTACCTCTAACGCAATTTGTCTGTGCAGGACTGGAGTTGAACAGAGAGTTGTCCACAAAACTACTCCACCCCCAGAGTAAGACTCAGCAGCCTCAACCTCCTTCTAACCTCTCCTGGGTCAAACTTCTCAGCTACCTGGAGACCCTCAAACGGGACCTCCAGACCCAGGGATTCAGTGGTTAGTTCATCTTCAGTCTTAAATTCACTGAACTTGCTCAGCAAGTTGCTGAATCATCGGTTTACGTTATTTGTAACTGCGAGAAAGAAAATAAAAGCTTAATGCTATTAAATGCATGCTCTGTTGTGATTTAAACTTTACCTAATATTGCATCTTAACAAGTTGAATTCTACCTAATTCCACCCCTTCAAGTCGTTTGAAAATACAATTTATAACTTTGAGAGAAAAAAGCTCAGTTTTATTAATGAGGCATTTAGTTTTTAGATTAAATAATTCTCCATTGTGATATTACCTACATCTGGTAACATTTTAATTGGCTTCTATATCTACTCTACCAAATTCCACAACTTCAGGTCAGTGTCCGATGAGTTCCCCAGGACTGTCTGGTAAGATCACCGTCCTACAAGACTACCTCGCCAGTACCATGCCTGGGTGGTCCAAGAAGTGCAATATCCCGACCATCTCACGGAACATATCATATCTCACCGTAAGTCGAGATATTCCGTCTCATTATTTGAGTATTCTCAAGTTTAATAATTAGTGATTTGTTTTATGCTAATTGAAACTATTGATAGTTGCCCAATTTAAAGTTTCAGCTAATAAATCTTCAGAGAAATTTACATAGTAATTAAATGACAGAACACTTGATTATCTTCTTTCATAAATATTGGCTAATTTTAGTATATTAGATAGAAATTAGAAATACGAAATGCTACCTAACACTCAATTGTTGGTAAAGATTCTATTCCCAATTCATGTCTAAGACCATGTCAGGTATAAATATTTTGCCTTTTAACAGTGAGATAATATAAGTTTTTTGATCGACAAAAATACAAAACAACAAAAATGAATCAAAAACAAATCAAAAAATACAAAATTAAGATGTGAAAAACAGAGAGTGTAGCAGGTTGTGCAGTTGTAAGTTGAGCCGCGACCAAATGCAATCTAGAGTTTATGTTATGACAGATTGAAAGGGTATGGGCACATGGCCTGACAAAAATTAGAGGAGCCGGGTACCACCATGCTTGCCTCAACTTTAGGTATAGACTTCCAATCTTTATCTGAATTTAGTTCCTTCTTGGGAGATTTGGCGAGGTCGCTACAGTTCAGTTGCTTCTTTCTCGCGTCCTCTTCTTCCTTTTCCAACGCAGTCCTCTTTAACTTCAGTTTAGCAAGAAAGTCGTCAAGTTTAGTCATTTTAAACGTCTACTAGCAAATCAATAGGAACGAAGTATGATGCATATAATTTTCCTCAGGGGTATTCTTATCGGAATTTAATAGCGATAGTCTTCGTTCCTCCAATCAAAACTTCTTTCTATAATGAGTAATTAACTTTTAATTGATATTGTCTGTTAAATATCACTTACGTTGATTACTATTCGATAGTTGCGATACAAACCCAGGAAATAACAATTTCAATCTTGATTATAATATTTTATACATATTTATGTCAATTTATCATAAATCACTAAGTGAAAATGTATACAATTTTACTAAGTCGCAGTTTCAAATTCAATTGAAATAGTTAATTTAACTAGTCAGAGAAATGGAACAAGACGCCCCATAAAACAGGAAACAGCTGGTTCAGTAATGTTAGTATCTAGCTCTGGTTCAGGGCTCTCTTCTGGAAGATTCCCTGACCTTGACAATGATATAGCGTCCTTCATAGCCTAAACTATCGTTTCCAACTTCCAATGTCTTCTTCTGATACTTCAGTTTTGCGTAGTCATAGGTTTGTGTATTTCGACTTCATTGATCTTCTTAATCTCCTGATTTTTATTCTGTCACCTTCTTCTCCTGCTTGTGTTTCTCTTTGCGGTTGACGATGGTTAATTCCAGTTTCTTTACCTTGTCACGAAGAGCTGCTGTCTCTTCCTTTAAGGAATTCAGAACGAACTGTAGCTTCTCTATCTCAACATAGGCTGCCCGCTTCTCTTCAATGGTCATGGTCTTGGTGTCCTTGTTGCTACGGTTTATGGCTCTCATTTTAATTCTGAGCTCGTCTTGCGTTGACTTCAAGTGTTTCAGATTAGAGGACATGTTGGTGATCTGTTACTGCACGTGCGTGCGCGTCGTGAGTACTGAGTAGCACGTAATCCTATAGAGCTATAATAGAGCGGAGACTTTATTTCAACTTGTGGTTCAACATTCGCGCAAACTGAAGAGAACACAAATTTAATAAACTAAATGTATGTGGTTTTGAACAGAAAAATAGTTAACAAATAACTGCTTAACTGATATCTATCTATGTATAAAGGTATAAGCTTTAAGGTCTAGTAACTAAAGAATGGGAACATGATCTGCTTAATCGATTAAATTAGTTAACGTAATTAATTGATTAATTAACGATGATTATAATCCCTCCAATCGTAAATTCTATCCTTTTATCTATTATTGATTAAATAAATCCCTAAAAGCTTGTTACTATGATAGCACCACTAACACTGATACTAGAGTCTAGATTACCTTCTATAACTGACCGTCTCCACCAGATGGGTAGAGTGCTAGCAGGGACCCCCTAGTTACCCCCTAGTTACCCCCTAGTTACCCCCTAGTTACCTTATATAACTGACCGTCTCCACCAGATGGGTAGAGTGCTAGCAGGGACCCCCTAGTTACCCCCTAGTTACCCCCTAGTTACCCCCTAGTTACCTTCTATAACTGACCGTCTCCACCAGATGGGTAGAGTGCTAGCAGGGACCCCCAATACAACTGTCAGCAGCAGAGAATCCAGCAGTCAGCCAGCTGAAAGTGTAGCTCCCTCTGATTCAGCCAGTGAGGGTGGAGTTGTCTTGCAGTGGGTCACTCCCCGACTGGTTACTAGGGTTCAGGTTAGTTGAGGGGTTCAAGTGATTTTTGGAATTAAAGTAAGAGTGGAAAAATTTAGAAATATAATCATTAAAATATTGTTTAACTATTTAAGCTATCTACCATCATGATGCTATAAATAGTTCAACGAACATTATGTTTAGGACACGTGAGTTACTATAAGCTTCATTACCACAGGACTCTACAAAAGACACGTTGGCATTCTACGCGTTTAACATCAAGCCAGTGAAGACCAGCTCTCCAATGTTCACATCCAACTCCTTTACCGGCTTTAAAGCGGTGTCCTCTGCATCCTTTGACTCGGTTTGTCCTCATTGTTATCTCCAGCTTAATTATTAAAGTTTTCTTGTTAAAAAGCAGTAAGGACTGGTTGAAAATTTACAAAATCAGTTCTCCATGTGAAATCAAGGCACATCGTTATGATTTTATTAAACGATCAAGGGAATAATCTGGAAAATTTCAGCTGCACACGAAAATAGAATACGCGCACGCACGTGCGGTAATTGAAGATGATGCGCAGAAGAAAGAAGGGACGCCTCTTCCACCAGGCTCCGCTCAGCCTCAGCCACCAGCCTCTGTTCATCCCCCCTCCAGCAGAGCTTCAACTAAGACCAGCTTTAGTCCGGAGCCTTACGAGCCTGGACATGTTAAAACGGGCGTGGTTGAGAGCTTAGGTACCTTCCTTGGACTAGATCCTGCTGTTACTAAAGATGTAAGTTTTATTTTAGATTTGATTTTACTGATTAGATAAAAAATTCTAAAAAACATCAGAATTGATTATAAACAGCTATTCATTATCCTTCGTTAATCGACCTGATATCTGAGTAAGGAGAAAGTATTGAAAATGAAACACTTTCAAATCGTTAAGCGTATCATGAACCCGCAAATTACCGGGTCACTGACTTCATTTCATTCAAATGCAAATATTGAGACACTTTGCAGTTGGCATGCTCTTTTTGTGCATTTTGGAGAATTTCTCTGGTCATTTGGATAACCTGTTCATCGTGGAAGCAAGATTGAGTCTTGTCAGTGAAAGTGATGGAATATGAAATTGGTGATTCTCTGTAGTGAAATGTTTGACTCTCTGTTATAATGTGTGCACAGAATGTGCAGTGTAAGGCCCTGCTTACCTGGTACCGGATCTGCTTCCCATGCTAGAACATTTATCTCCACCAAATATAGTTCCGTTGCTGAAAATGCATCCCTCGGCTTTTTCACCCTTATTTCGTTTCCTGGACAAGAAATTTCATCAAAGGTACTGCAGTTTTGAAAATCCTATCACACAATTACTCATCCAAGTTCTTAAAATCGTACTGTTCGTCGAATTTCATCCAACTTCTCACTAACAGCAAAAATTCCAACTTTTACTGTGTTAAAATATAAACGAACCCTCTAAAACGGGGCTGCATGTTACAACGTATCTCTGTTGCTCTACTGTCCAGTTATCTACTACCGAGATAGTTCCGCACAGAGATTCTGCACTGTTGCCAGCTTTATCAGTAACATACAACCTTACACCGTCTATAGATCTGAAATTAACGTCGTGTTTGGAGATTTGTTCATCACTTGGTTCTTAGTCCACTGCATATGGGCCATTTATATAAGGATTTGCTTTCGTTTACGCATCGATTATTAATTGTCCTACAATCTAACCTAGTGAGAGTGTAGGGATCGTATATATGACTTCATTATTTTCGAAGGTATCAAATATATTTATTAACTTAAAGACACCACCTACCTCATCTCTTGTTCGTCTAACCTAAACGTTTGATCGACATTCTGTACGATGATAGAATGGATAGCGTACCAACTTTTTAACGGTAGTTTCAACAAGTGTTGCTCCTTCTTGGATTCAGTGGCAGCGTAAGTGTCGTTATTGTTATCCACAGCTTTCTGAAATAAACATAGGTATCGTTATTGTTATCCACAGCTTTCTGAAATAAACATAGGTGTCGTTATTGTTATCCACAGCTTTCTGAAATGAACAGTCGATAAATTTATCATGCCATGGAGTACTGCACTGAGTCAGGCTGAGAAAAGCAAAGCTCATAGAATCTTAAAATCTAAGGGATAGAATGACTGCAAGTATACTTTAGCTGCCTTTTACCATAGATAATCTTGAAGAATGATAATATTATTGTCTCAATATTCGTACCGGAGGAGTATGTTTTAAGACAAGGGAAGATAGAGTGGGCTCTCCAAAGTCAGTAGTTTGATCAAGTAGAAAAGTCTTCAGTTCAGCGAGGTGCAGCAAAACTGGAATCAGCCATATTGTCAGACCAAGGTGACAGTTCATCTGGTGAAATATAAAAGTAACATATTGTATTCATGTTTGACAGTCTGGTAAGTTGGTATCTAGGCAGTTATTTACGTCGTGAATCTTGGGTGGAATGTGGTCACATATGATTAAAACGAGAAACATTTTTGGTTAGATTCAGACAAGAAACTTTTTAAAAGCTGACTGCAACCGAGCAGCTGTTAGAATGAGGCTGCCAGTGGTCAGGTGTTAAGGCCAGAGGGGGGGGTAAGGGGTCAAAAACATCGACCAAAATATTATTTTCTTAATCAATATAATTTTTGATGACAAAAACATTGCAACTATTCACATATTTGTAGCTGCTTAACTTTTTTAAATAATTGAGGTTAACCGACTTTCACAAAATTGACTATACAACATTGAGGTTAATAAAATTGAGGTTAATATTTTATTACACTCCATAATTTTTTGTTATTTCGGTCAGCAAATGTTAACTCTAAATTTTAGGTTCATAATTATCAGAAAAAGTAATATCCAAACGTTATTAAATGAGGTTAACCTCTTTTTTTAGATGTAGCGAGAATAGATCAAATGATAGAGCTATTATTTTCATCGTTAGTTTACGGTATACACATTTCTAAATAGATGACGTGTTGATTGACTTTCTTTTATCTTGGGAAAATGAAAAAATGAGGTTAACCATCACATTTTGGTACTGTAGGGAATATACATACGATTCTTACTTATGTAATGTACCACAATATCGCAGTGAGGTATCTATTGGTATCACAATGCCTACAACTATAATCACGTGACAAAGGTGATTTGAACTGACCATATTTTAGTAGAAGATTTTATCCGTAAATGGCTAAAAAATGAGGTTAACCTCTCATTTTTTGAATATCTGACCAGTAAAATACATGTTAACCTCAAAAACTTAATCGTTACACTGTGCAAATGTTTTACTACATATATAATAACATATTAATAAACCAATCCCAGTGTTATATGGTCTAAAGCGAGGTTAACAACCAAATTTTTACTACTTTCGAGCAGTTAGTGTTTACAGGAAGTCTTGGTTAACCTCATTTTTTACAATACAAGGACATTAACTACTGAAAGTGGCTAAAATCGTTTAGGGGATGGCTAGGTCTGATCAAGCAAACGTTGTTAGGTGTATAGAAAGTCCTAACTAACGAACTGTGATACATTCCAGTGAATATTCAAAATTTTGAAAACACTAAATTGCATCTATCTCGAAACACATTTTGTGACTTTCAGTTCCTTAGTTGAGAAAACCAGCCACCCCCTGATAATGGGATTTGGTACAGTGGTTCCTTGGACAAGTATCTAGATATTAGATGCAGCGATTTTTTTTATTTGACTCGTTTCTCGAATTATGAGGTTAACCAGCTAAATTTGTCGAATTTTTGACATGGTTAACCTCATAATTCAAGAACCGAGTCAAATTAAAAAAATCGCTGCATCATAAATGAGGATAATTGTCCAAGGAACCACTGTACCAAACCTCAAGATCAGGGAGTGGCCGGTTTTCTCAACTAAGGAATCGAAAGGTCAAAAAAGTTACAGCCGTTTAAAGATCCAGTTTAACATGTAATTACAGGTAAACCTCAAAATTTAGCGCGCGATATCTCAGGAACGCAAGGTCTGATTTTGATCCGGTTTTTTTCTTCTTGTTCGTCTCCAGCAACTATTATCAAATATGTGAAAACTAGAAAAGTGCCATTTACCCCCCCCTCTGGCCTTAAAACCGGGCAGGTCAGGAGGGGAGGGGAGGGGAGGGGAGGGGAGACGTGGTGTTGTAGTGACGTCACGTGGTGTTGCAGTGACGTCACGTGGTCACTGGTCAGGTGTTAAAGCAGCTGATCCTACTACTGGGAAGGGAGGGGAGGGGAGACTTCACAAATAGTTGATAACAAGCTCTCTTTGATCAGCTGGTACTAGTTCCAACAATTATTATTGAGCAGGGGAGTTGTAAGTTGTTTTAACTTTTATTGGAACTAAAGTTAACTAGATAAACTATTATAGGTTAATTGTTAAATTACGGTAGGGTGCAAGTCTGTAACTTTGTAATTGTCACTCTAATAACCGGTCCCATACACAACCCCCACCTTCAGGTAGTTGTAAGGTATGTGATTTAGATATAGCTGTACGTTTTCAGTCTTCAGCTATATGAACCTGTCCGAAAAGTTCAATTACTGCGAAAGAATCAACTAGAAAACTTTATATCACATGGAAAATAGTTGATAGAATAAAAGATGACATCATTATTTCACAGTTTTAGTGAGCAGATAGATTGCAGATCTTATCTTTACGTATAAAATATTTAAAGTAGAGCGAAACACACCCCAACTGTCAATCTTTAAACCACGACCTAGAAATATGCCATATTGATAATATTATAATAATATACTGACACGAAATTAAATGGTCGCATGCGGCGAGCTGAGTACTGACATCAATGAAGTGAATAATTATACTAAGATATTGGGGCTGTCATTACCTTTAATATATAACCTAAATTCCTTAATGGCTGAGTCGGGCATTATGTGAAAGGGTCATGACAGCCTCCTATCTTGATAATCATTAACTTCATCAAGATTATCCAAAACGTTAAACGAATCCCGACCGACAATCTATTATAGTCGATAATATATTCATACGAAATGACGGTTCAATTAGGCGAGCCATTCCACTTGCTAAGGGACTAATAATAAGCAATGACACTCTCCCATCTTTGTGTGATTATTGAACTTATCAATATTATCACCCGTTAACTTTTAGATGCTTAGATGTCGTCTAGTGCAATTCTAGTGCAATTCTAGTGCAATTGTCTAGTGCAATTGATAAATCTTCTGTTCAATAGCTAAATACTTAAATAGGTAGCAACCGGAAACTAAAACTTCTTTGTCCAATACAACTGAATAAGTGATTACGCAACATTATCTGAACAAAACGTTAGCGCAAAACAGACACGACAGCTATCATCAGTACTTCACCGTCGGTTTTTGGCCGAGGTTAATTGACCAGCTGTGCAGGTTTTATTTCTTTGTCGGACCTGCTCATCAGTTTAGTGAAGTTCCTCCCATTAGTTGGTGAGATCTTTAGTCCACAAAGGGAGCTACCAGGATGCTCAATGTACCCTTTATAGAAAGTGGGCCTATCTTATCTTAAGGTTTTAGAGAGTAATGACCTCGGACGAATGGTATGCAGGCTTTTGGTGGAAATCACTCTGAGCTCCATTTAGCTCCATTTAGCACGCCAACGCGACCGTTTTGGACGAAGATCGAGGATATCTGAGTCAACAAGATTTATAAGGACAAACAATATTAAAACTCCACGTTCTTTGACAATCACGTGAAATAGGCGCTTTAATCCGACTATTTAGATTTTAATGGATATCCAACATAACCGCAGAAGAAGTGATTAAATATGAGTAACAAAAGAAACGGTACTCTCTGCAGCTGGTGGTAACTGGTAGATATGTAATAACTTTTCTGATGAAGATGAGATGTTCTGATAGTGATTGCGTGATGAAAATGATTGACGGTTAAAATTCTACACCTACCTTGTAGTAGCAACCAGTGAAAGACCTCACACAGATCAAGAACACATAGAATATTCCGCATGGAACGTGCCAGCAAAATAATGGAGAGAAAATGTAATGTTAAACCCTGATCCTTGATAAATACTAAAAGGAGATAGAACTGGGAACAATGCAAGACAAGAAGCAATGCTTTAAATAGTTGGAATACTTTAGAGGTTATAAAAATAAATTATAAATAAAAAACCTATTTTAAATAGTTATAAAATATTCGAACAGCTGAAACAATGAAAAATGTCTAGCCCAACGGTTACAATTACGCTGGTGAGTTACTGAAATCTATAAAGTGAATTTTTCGTGCCAATTAGAATGATCGTGCCACCTGGGCCTCGACTTTGGGCGCTGTTATGACTTTATGAAACAAATATTGGCAAAAATACAGAGTATTAAATGTTTATTTAAATGTTCTCTATCTTATTTGACATGTTAAATGATGTAGAAAATTACCGGCCCGAAATTTCCAGTTTGAACTGTGGATGTAGTGAGGGTGTAACATATTAGAAATATTATAGTCGAGACATGATGAGAATTATTGCCATGAAATTGTTTTTATAGACCACTCGCAGAGACTTATAAATAGTGCACAATGCACATAGGCGTCAGTTATCAGCTTAATGTGGCAGCTGTTCCACTTAAAAATGTCACGTGACCTTCTTTATTGGAGTTTTGTCTGATACTTTTTTAAATTCATCGGACGTTAGGTAATTTGTGAGTCATTCGTTACTCAAGTTTATAATAAGGATTAGTTAAATGAATCTGGATATCTGTGTTAAGGGATCAAAGCTATCTGAAGAACTTGACTTGTTACCTCGTCAGAATTCACCCTAACCTATTTCCTCATAACACCTGCCACGTGATAATATTACAATCATACAATAATTATTAGAATATTAATATAATTAGTTAATTAATAGTTAACTAATTAGCAAAACACTTACCATACAACTTGGCGTAGACAGCCACCTCACAAACAACTAGTTGTCCTGTACTCCCCTTCTCAGTTGTTATCAGAATCTCACTCCCTGTCACTCCACACTCCGCCTCCAACCTCCCAACTAATTGAGGTACTGGATTATAATATCACTATAGTTACAGATATCCAGTCTTCTAATGGCTTAATTGATTACTAGGAATGATGTTATTTGAAAGTTGAGCTCACAGCAGTTTATTAAAAGTGAGGTAAATGAAACTGCTGGAAAAATACCTGTATCTGTTCTCCTCATTTTACAAATCGCGGTTTCCTCGTTTCCATGGCCATGGCGCACGAAAACCTTTGTCTTCTCAGAATTATCATCTCCCTCCATCACATGATCACCGTCTGCATCAGGTGTAGTCTGCACTGTTATCAGACGGAAGTGAAAGGACAACTCACCGAATCGCAGTATAAGGTTCTGATGGTTCTTGTTCTCTGCTGCTGTTATGAAGCAAGTTCCTGGATCACCATCGTAACTCTGTTCAGGAGTGGTGCCTATTTGGCTCATACCACCACTTGCCCCGGTGATTTTCACTCGGACGAGAGAGTCGTCTTTATCGTCATCAGATTGTAACGCTGCGTCGTCAGACGATACAGAGGTGACTGAGGAATCAGTTCTGGGTGGGTCTGGTTGAGGGTGGTGACTGTGAGGAATGTTCGTGGAACTGGGTAAGATGAGGAGGAGGAGGACTAACATTGTCTGCTTCTCCATTTCTCCTGGTAGAGCTGTACGAAGAAGCTAACTGGTTTAGTAAGCTTACCAGGCGGAACATTAGCAAACAAATCTGCAAGATCGTACAGCAAATCAAGATATTATATGACTACGAGTGTTAAAGTTTTCGGAAATATCAAATTAAAGCCTCTGAATGGAAACATGAGTACACAATATAATTTAGCTAAGGTAGCGTTATAACGAGCTTAGTGTTCCGCTCGAACTACTCTACACAGCATCTAGAGCACACCTCTCGTTATGCTGCAAATACTATGAAATAATATGTTCTTCCATCTAGAAGTTTGAGACCCCCTTACTAACTTCTCGATAGTTAGTGCAGGCTGGCAAAATGAATCAAACAAAGAGAGCTGGTCCGGGAGATCAGAGATAGAACTCGATATTGGGCTGTAATCGCAATTTCATAGTAACTACCATACCAGTTCCTAGGTAGTTTCTGAGTAAGTGAGTAGGTCATGCAATCAACACCTGCTCAATAACTCGTTAAAACCCTCAAAATAAGTATCTCGCAGTGGTTATCGAGTATTTGAGAAACCCTCCTCTGTCATTAGCATAGTTATGTAAAATCTTAGAAAACTGAAGAGAGCAGGTGCATGTTCCAGAAACTAGAAATTATATGACTCCGCAAAGATTAACCAACCATGGTTGCTGATCATGCAGTGGCACCATTTGGTGCGGCAAATTATGCGATTCCGCTGGACTTACAGAATCTGCACCCTCGCCCCTAAATGGTGCCTCCGTGCAGCAATGTATTTAAGTTGTAAATATGAACATATTATATTATCTATTAAATTAACCACGTCCCTCCTCCCCCAGGTTCTAGAACAGCCAGACTCGCTCTCCTCGGAGAAACTCTCAATCCTAGAGAACCTCTTCACAGTTACAAGTGTACCCCAGAACCAGACGGAGCTGTGTAGGTGGCTCCTCTCCTTCAAGAAGGTGCTCCCTAAAGCTGCTGCAGGTGGGCCGGGCTCTAAGAGGGCGACTCCTGGAAACAAGGAGCCTGCTACTTAAAGCTGCTGCAGGTGGGGCGGGCTCTAAGAGGGCGACTCCTGGAAACAAGGAGCCTGCTCCCTAAACCTGCTGCAGGTGGGGTGGGCTCTAAGAGGGCGACTCCTGGAAACAAGGAGCCTGCTCCCTAAAGCCGCTGCAGGTGGGGCGGGCTCTAAGAGGGCGACTCCTGGAAACAAGGAGCCTGCTCCCTAAAGCCGCTGCAGGTGGGGCGGGCTCTAAGAGGGCGACTCCTGGAAACAAGGAGCCTGCTCCCTAAACCTGCTGCAGGTGGGGTGGGCTCTAAGAGGGCGACTCCTGGAAACAAGGAGCCTGCTTCCTAAAGCCGCTGCAGGTGGGGCGGGCTCTAAGAGGGGGACTCCTGGAAACAAGGAGCCTGCTCCCTAAAGCCACTGCAGGTGGGGCGGGCTCTAAGAGGGCGACTCCTGGAAACAAGGAGCCTGCTCCCTAAACCTGCTGCAGGTGGGGCGGGCTCTAAGAGGGCGACTCCGATCCTGGAAACAAGGAGCCTGCTCCTGGGAGTAAGTAGGAGGGACTGTATGTCTGGTAGTGTTATCAGATTGAGTAGTTTGGTAGTTTGAACTCGAATAAGATGTTTTTTTCTGAGCAATGTTTGTGTTCTGTGAATCAATGTTAGGATTTTGTTAGTTATCTATTTCAGATATGCACCGAAAAGGTTTATCACGAAGGTTTATTTTGATATGTTACCTTGGTTACACTTTAAATTATTTTGTAAAATAGACTGTAATTGTACATAATCAAATTCACATAATCAAATTTATATTGCACCACAATGAATATAAAACTGTTTTAATTTGAGCGGTCATTTTACATGTTAACAGATGTAAGTTATTAAACTTGAAAAGAAAGTGGTAAAAATCGGAAAATTTCAAAAAAAAGCGTACCACTGTTTTGACTCCGCTCAGAATTTCTCTGGGTAGAAAATCAGACTATATATATACTATTTATTTATAAATACTACTAAATATTAAGAATCTTAAATCTTAAAGATAAACTTGTCATATAAAATTACATATTAAGAATCTTAAATCTTAAAGATAAACTTGTCATATAAAATTACATTTATGCACTGAAGAATTAGAATGTTATCTAAAAGTTTATTTGATAATATGTTACCATGGTTAAATATGTAAAATAGAATGTAATTATACTGTCACACATATTGTAGAGTCAAACATAAAATATTCTACCACCTGTTGAATATAATATAAGCTGCTATAATATCTGCGGTCATTTTAACAAATGTACTGTTAAACTTGAAAATAGAAAGAGTTTTAATTATGAATATGATGATTTCTAAAAACCGCGTACCACCGTTTTGACGTTGCTCAGAACTACTCTAGACCGCAAATCATGCATGTTTTTGCAATTTTTTAAACAACGATTGACGCTGAAGCTCGAGATTGAAAATATCAACATCAATCAAACAATTATGCTCAGCTATCCTTTCTCACAATCTCAATTTAGACATCATTTAGATCTCTCGTCCCTGCCACCTCTTCCAGTTCACCTGAAATTTACATTTTTTTAAAAAGGCAGCAGACAGCAAAATCAGGGTAAATAACTAGTTTCTGAATAATCTGATTTAATCTGTCATCTATACTAATAATCTCGATAAATATGCGTGTGTCTGTCTGTAATTTACGAATGGTTAAATCAAGAAAACGGTAAGAGATATGGGACTGGGTTTTTTTTCGGTATAGTGCTGCCAAAACTCTGATGAAGCCAAATGATTAAGGTTTTTTAAATCGGCCAGTGGTAAGTGGTTTAATTGATCATTTTGTGACCCAAATGTGATACTAAAGTGTGTCACTTTCTCTCCCACTCTCGCTCTCTCTCCCCTCATAACAGATTTGCTATATGATTAGATAACTTGGCAGTTGACCTCAAGATTGCCTATCAAGTATTAGTATTATATACATGGGGGAACTCAGAATTAAATTGCAGTTTGTTATAAATTGGACTGAGCGAGTTCAAACTTTCGCACCGTTTTAACTACGAAAATGTAATGCGTGTTCTCGAATATACTAATATAATAGGCGGCTTGGAGGGGGATATTTAAAACATATAAGTGATACGAAAGATTGTATTAGCAGGAGCTTTCAAAATACTTGTGTAAATCGTTTTCAACTGAGGATGATGTTGTGAAGGGTGATTATATATGATGTAGTGGTGTCAATGATGAGTGGTGTGACGGAGTCTAGAACATTTTTTAGAACATTTGAATATAATTTGAAACATTACAGAAATGTTGTACAAATCGCTCAAACACACACACTCGGTTTTAATTCGGTAAAATTCCATTCGAAAATTAAATGATTCTCAAAATGTAGGTGTCTAATGAAAATATGATACTGTGTGACAAAGTTAAGTATGTCGTAGTGAAATAGAGTTAACTGTCGATAAAATCATGTGAGGTACTATCGAAGTTCAAAATGTTGTGATGGGTGACATGATAATGACTGATAAGAAAAAGTTTTCATGTCAACTGTGCCAAATCCATAACAGTGTGATGACTGTCAAAGTGTCTACCACTAGGTACTTGGACGAACAAGTGTACCCGAGGTGTTCTGAGAGAATAAGGGGACAGGCTCGGGAACACGAGCGCGCGCTAGCCGCTAGGGCAAAAAAGTGAAATGCACAGTAAGCAAGTTAAAAAACGGAAAATTAAAATGCCGTTTGGGCCAAATGCAGTGAGCCAGTAAGGTACGGTTGTAGGAGCAAGTGGCTCTGAATACTAAAACTGATGAGGCTGATGCTGAAAATGAAGACTGAAAGAGGGGGAAGCAAAGGGGAAGGACAGGATGCAGGGGGACAAGAAAAAAGAAACAAGAGTGGAGACAAACCACCTGCTGAGGTCTGGCTAAAATCAGAATGCAGTGAGCGGCCCATGTAACATAATCGTCCGTGGCAGTCTACCCCGTACGCAGACTACGGTCCAAGATTTCAGGCGCCAGAATACACCTTTTGGTGCAGAGCTGGTCACGACCAGGGTCCTCTCGGATACCCCGTCTCGGAGGTCGGGCCAATGGAGCGATCCATTTCTGTACTGACAACCATTGTAACCCTATCACTCTGAAGGCCCCACAGTTCCTACATGGACGCACGGCCGGAAGCCCATGTAGGGACGGAAAGTCCCAAGAGTCGCTCATAGCATCCGTCACAGATCCAAAGCAAGAGGAGAAGGAAAGGAAGAACGAGAAAAGCAAAAAAGAGCTGAAGGACTACTTTCCATCTTCATCACGAAGGCTGTCTTTGTGCTTGAGGTTCAGACTGTACATTTCTCTGATGGTTGAGCATGAAAGTCTAATCAAGTTCACATCCTGCTCGTTAAGGTTACCGTAAAGATCTTGGGTACGAGAGAGAGTGTTGACAATGTTGGTCAGTCCGTTGTCATTGCTGTTTCCCAAGCTTTCACTAGCTCTGGTAAACTTGTCTCTGATAGCCTTCCCTTGTGGGCAGGAAGTGAGAAAGTGTGTTTCATCCTCTATGATCCCGGTTGATCCTTTCAGTTCACAAAAGGTGCAAGTTCTGCTCTCTAGAGGTGTGTTTTCGTATCTCCCAATTTCTATGCTGAGTCTGTGAGAACTGCACCTTATTTGAGCTGTTGATCTTCTGTCATCGAGAGTTCTTGCATAATCTAGGTAAGGCTCCCATGCAAAGACTGTTTTGACGTCCTTGTAGAAAGTGAGTTTCCTGCTCTCGTTAATCTTTGATCTCCAGGAGTCTGTAAACAGCTTTTGAAAGTTATTAACCAGCTCGTCTGGACTGCAAGCGTCTGCAAACGCAGTTGCATTGAGTAAAAGCGAAGAGTTCCTTGCATATGTTCTAGGATCAATGTTGTTGAAGCACTTGATGATGTTTTCTATTCCAGAGTACCACGAAAGATGCAAGTTTACTTGCTCAGTCATAGCAGCCTTCACCAGTTGAGACGATGGAAGACACATTATCCTTTTGAAGTATTTGACACTTAGTTTTAATACTTCGATCAGTAGTGGGTACGAACCTGTCTCACCCCATGCAGTTGCATTGGTAGCCCGTCTGTTTATCCCAAGGAGGAACTTCAGGTGACGTAGGTGAACCTGCTCGATTTGTTGCTTTGCCATGTGGGTCATTGAGTTGTTCAAGTTTTGATCCCTCATGAGGCACGAAAGAACTTTTGTTACCTCTGGAAGAGTGGGTGCCCAGACTTGGCAGCCGTACAGTAAGATGGGCTTAACCAGTGAGTTGAAAAGCTTGTGGAAGCATGAGGCGTCAACAAATCTGCGATCGATTGTGCTTCTGAGGCTGAAATATGCTCCAAGCCCTTTGCGGTAAAGAGAATCAGTGGCTTGTCGGAATTTACCATTGCTACTGATAAGAATACCAAGATAGCAGTAGTGGGAGACCATCTCGATGTCGTTGCCATGTGCTTTGGGACGCCAACTAGGGGTATCCGGAGCTTTACTGTTGAAAACCATAAACTTGGTTTTGGATATATTGATTTCCAGTCCCCAGTTATCGCAGTACGTCGTGATGATCGTGATTAGCTTTTGCAGTGATTCTTGGTCAAGGGCAAGAATGACTAAATCATCAGCCCAGGCTAGATGAGTTACTGAAAGTCCTGCAAGCATGGGGCAGTTGGCTAGGGCTTCGTTGAGGAGATCAGAGAGCTCTTTGAAGTACACCTTGAACAATTCTGGACTAAGAGGGTGACCTTGCTCTGTCCCTTTCAGGATACTGAAGGCTTCACTGATTTTGCCATTGATCTTTATATGTCCTTCCGACTTGCTGTACATGTCTTTGATGATGTTGTAGAACCCACCATTAACACCATAACATGATAGTTTGAATAGGAGGGCCTGTCGACATACAAGGTCAAAGGCTTTACGAAGGTCAATGAATATAGCAAAGACCTTCTGTTTCACTCTCTTGTACTTCTCAATGATCGACATCAGAGTGAAAATGTGATCATTACACTGGCTCCCTTTGGTGAATCCAGCTTGATTGGGGGGATCTGAATGTGTCGTTTGCCGGTGTGTGACAAGTCTCGATAGCAGCATTGTTGACAATAGCTTGCCAATGCAGCTGCAGACTGCAATAGCTCTGTAGTTATCGGGGTTTCTAATGCAGCCTTTCTTGTGTAACGGCGTTATCACGCTTTTACTCCAAAGATACACACCTGTGGTCAAACAGAGATTGAAAAGTTTAAGAAGTAGATTTCTCATGTTCTCGTTCAGGCTTTTGATCATCTCGTTACTGACATGGTCAAAGGATGACGCTTTGCCAGTCTTCAGACTGTTGATGGCACCGTTCAGCTCTTCAATGGTGAAAGGGCTGTTCAAAGCTTCGTTTGGCACGGATCCTTTAGCAAACGTGTCAGCTTCTTCAAGAAGGGCTTTCTTAGTAAGACTGTCAACAGTTGGGTGGGAGTCGGAGTAAAGATCAGCATAGAAATTCTGAAAGGTTTGGAGCTGTTCGGGATCGGTTTGAACCTCATCTTTCTTAAAGTTCTTTAATTTCTTGAAATCCCGCCAAGAGATAGCTTTACCATTCTTGATTTTTTTGTTCAGTCTTTTGAAGAAGTCATCCTTCTTCTTATTGATGATCTTCCTGTAACTTTTCGAGTTGGCACGGTGTCGGGTTTTGATCCTTTGACTGTCGGGGTTGTCGCCGACAACTTTGATTGACCGCTTGAAGAGTCGCCTGGCTGCATGGCAATGACCATCAAACCAAGAATCGAACTTTGGTTTAGGATGCTTTGCTTGCTTAGAGACACCGAGTTCTCTTTTTGCCAGGCAATTGATGAGATCAGTTATCTTGTCACTCAGTTCTTTCACCCCTTGCTGGGTTGTCGGGATAGCGTCAGCAGCATTGTGCAAG